CAGGCCCTTCTGCTGTCTGCTGATGTAGATATTGCTCGCTGAGGTGACCTTACCCTTTTGCTCACCTGCAGTCCATTCTGACTACTCTGAGTAGTCAGATTAGAGGCAAAAAGATATTAGTTATCTTCATAGGGACAGCTTAGCAATTAATTGTTTCTATTTTGCACTTTATTCAGTAATTTTTATTGTCCACATGATATTTCAAGTGAACTTCTGGTGTTTTATAATTTCAACACTAGTCAGTTAACTCATGTTAAATATAGTAGTTATTATATAAGTTAGAAGGCAAGAAATATTGTAAATATTTGCTCTGATCTTAGCCAGGAGAATACTATTAGATCCTTTTTGACAAATATGTAATTATGTCATAAACAAAGTAGTTTTAATTCATTGATGGTACTAAAAAAACTGGCTTTCACAAGCTTAAAAAATGTTAGGGCTTTAATAATCTATGTGTGTGTGTGTGTGTGTGTGTGTGTGTGTGTTTGCGCGCGCACGCGCATGCATGCACGTGCTATATTACAAAGCAAAAACCTATAGATTTTCTGCATTTTAGTAGAAAGGGAGTTCATCTATCAGGGTCACTACAGGTTTTGAAAAGCAAAAAGGCACCATCTAAAAACTCTATCAACACCAACACCAAATGTCCAACCCAGAAATTGATTTACTATTTCTGCATCAAATATAAAAACTCCAGGTCTTCAATCACTATTTATTCAACAAATATTTCTTAAGCACTTATTATTAATATTTGCTTGTTAAAACACTGAAACTATTATATTGCTTTTATACTGCAATATTCTAAAACAAGAGGAGACTAACTTAATAATACATTAATAAAGTGTAGTCAAATTTGTATTGAGCAAATTAACAGAAGAGATAAAATGAGTGATAGAAGGCTCCTTGCTCTGTAGGAGTTTACTTGAATAAAGAAATGTGCATATCTTGTTAAGGGAATGTACCAGGTGTCTGAAAACAATGTCTGGGGAACTCAGAGAAAGAATCAATCAACATGACTGAGAAGATTAAAGTTGGCTTCATAGAAAATTGAAATCTGAGGGTCCTCAAGATGACTAGGAACCATGCAGGTGAAAAGGGAGAACAGAAACATTCCAGGTAGAGGAACCCATGAAGAAAAGGCAGAGATATGTGGCAGTTCAGAACTAAGTGTGGGAGCAGGTAGTAGACCCCTGCAATTAGGGAAAGGTGAAAAAGGACAAAGCTCTGGGTGCTAGTGTGATTTACAGGGACCGGTGTGGAAAGGGCAGGGGGTTGTGCACAGAGACACCGTGGGGTCATGTCTTTTAGAAAGATAATTCTGAAAGTAGTGGGAGAAGGTGACTGGAAGGCTGTGTGTGTGTGCACGGGCAAGTGTGTTCATAAGTGTGTGTGCGTGTGAGTATATAGGGTATTGGTTTCCTAGTGTGAAGTGATACTGAGTAACTTCACTAACTGAATGTGGAAAGTTCAAGTTTTTACAGATACTGGTTCCCTGTAATGCTTAATAAAATCATTCCTGACATATCAGATATAGGGTCTCAAAAAAGGAAAAAAAAACTTCAGTATTTTCTTATTTTTAACCTAACACATGTTAATTTCAAAGTAAGCACACTACACAACTGAATTTCAAAAGGTGGGAAAATGAATTTCAGTCCTACCACCAGAGGGAAACAGCAATTGTATGATATTTTTCAAATTGGATTTAATTCTACTACATTGAACTACACATTAAATAAGATTGATGATGGATAGAGTAATGCAGACAACCAGGACCAAGCTTATTTTAAGCAAACGCGTGCATAATTTCTGCCTCACTTGGCAGAGTGAAACTTGACAAAGAAGTCATTTATTGCTCTAGTATAATAATGTACATAAATGTAATATATAAACATATATTACAATATTACTTATTTTTTAAAATGTGCTAAACACTGTGGAAACATAACAGTTGGGAATAGTTTCATATTTTGTAATATACATTTATTTAGCAATGGATTTCTGTCTTTTAAACAAAAATGAAAAGAGCAAGTAAGTAAAAATGAAGAATCTCTTTAATCTTTAATTCCCATCAAGTGGAAACTTAAGTACTGACGTATGCTAAACTTTTATCCATTAGTTCAGCAGCTCTTTAAGAAATACCAATAATAAGGCTAGTTACAGTTCTGTCAGTGAACAAAATCCAGGTATGGTGTCTGCATACATGGAGCTTACAATCTTAAACAAGGTATTCTTTCTACTATCTTAAACAGAAATCTCATCTGTTTTCAAGTCAGCCCTCATTCCCATATTTCCACAAAGTACTATTGCACTGTTCTGACCCCTGCAAGTTTATCCATTCTCTGATCTCTAGTAAACGTATAAAGGTTCTTTCTCCTCAAAAAAATTTTAAAAAATTCCTTGAAGATGAATACAAATGCTACATTATTTGGGGTAGAGGGTAAATTTTTCTAAATAATTGGTAATATCGGGGAAACCATTTCCAGAATTCCTGATAAAGCATTTGAAGTTGGCTGAAAAACATATTTTCTGGAAGCTTTGCCAATGACCATATGGAAAGAGATGTCATCAAAATCTTCTTAAAGCATTACCATAAGAGTAACGACACTGGTGCAAATTAAAGAAAGCTAGTGAGATTTTTTTCTTTTCATACTAGGGATTGAACGCAGGGGTGCTTTACCACTGGGCTACATTCCCAGCCCTTTCATTGTTTGATTTTGAGACAGACTCTTGCTAAGATATTTTGAGACTGACCTTGAACTTGTGATCCTCCTCCTTCAGTCTCCCTAGTACAGGGGACAATAATGTATAATGGGATTATAGGTGTGTGCCCAGTTACCACGCCTGGCTTCTGATGAGAATTTTCTGATGAAATCTCACAAAATAGTTTTCAATTCACTTGTTATTTTAAATGTAAATTATTCATTATTTCCAAGAGATGTTATATAATTTAAATGGTCCTACATGACCAAAACAATCAATTTTCTAGTCTGAACAATAGTTCAATTAAGGCTTGGTTACACATAAAGTTTGCAAAGGGGAGAATAAAACTGATTGCTTCATTTTTCTATTATTACATTTTCAACTGATTTAAAGTTGTGACAAATTAGACTACAGACTATTACAATAGGGAAGTCATTTTGTAAATTCAATCTGTATTTTGGCATTCTGAAAGAAGTTTGCTGTTATTATTTGCAGGTTTCTTTAGAGCACTTTAAAGGCAATTATGTGATTTATAAAACATTCTTAGAATAGGCATCTTGATAAAGTACAGCACATTATCCAAATTAAGTATATTGCTTAAGGAAACCAAGCTACAGAAAGTTTCTGTAAAAAGTTGAGGATTTATACTGATAGAATGAGAACATGTTAGTCTTTTATTGTAAACTTCAAAACCTGGAATCATTGTGTTCATGGTTATTTGACCACTCTTAAGACCTTCTATAGTTCTAATCACTTTATCAATCTGCAGACTTATTTAAGATAAAATATTCAGAATAGGAAAGCAGTCAAGGACAAAACATTTATGCCATGTCTCAGGGTATAGGAAAGGGCATAGTGTTAGAGACTGACAGAAAACAGCAATGAAGGAAATGGAGGATTCCAATGAAAAAGTTCTTATTCTATATGATGTAAAATCTGTTAATCAAATGGTGTTAAGTCAGTTGTTTTCATTTTCTGTTTTATAATATTTGCTTTACTTTTATTTGAAAAAAAAGATGTACTAAAATTTAAGAAGTAAAAAGACTTCCCAAATCTGTCCGGGAAGAGCACATTTCATGGTCGCTGGCATCATCCATCTCTGACCATCACAAATCTTTCCACCAGTGGACTAGCCACATGTGTCATAGGCCAATAGGACAAAATATTTATAAAAAATTTTGTAGAACTTACTTGCAAATTCTAATTCTAAAGTCAGTTATAAACGAAGAAATAAAGGTAACATACTAACATACACATTGAAGAAAATGTTTTCTTTATCCTGTTCTGCATATGCAAATTGGCCACTATAATAGATAATAAAACCTAAATTGCTACAGGCAAGACACAGGCCTGTCTTCCAAAGAGGGATGAAGTTAATAATCATTTGAAAAGATCAAAGGAGCTCCTGACATCCACAGGCACAGAGGCTCCTCCTTAATGACATTTTCAACTCTCATTTTCAGGTGTTTAAAACTCTCTCTGCTAACCACAAAACAAAAGCAATCAACTCCATTTCTTGAAGACAGAAGCCATGTTCTTTTTTTTTTTTTTGTACAAGGTCTAGTCCACAGTAGTACAGAATGTGCTTAGTATGTTTTACTAGCCAGAAAGCAATCTATAAATGAATTTTCTAAGAAATAAATCATACAAAGGGTAATATCCCAGTTGTCTTGTTGAGCCTCATTCTGAACACATAAACAGATGTTTAAATAAATGAAAGAGCAGGGTACAGCTAATCCAATTTCAGATATCTTATCAATTTTTAGTTGGCTAATCCAACTGATGACAATGCCATCTTACCAAGTCTCAGTTTTTGCAGTGATTTATTCCAAACAAGGAACAGTATAGCAGAAAAGTGGGGGAAGGGGACATCTAAACCATAGTAGTGTTCATGAGAACTAAATTAATGCCACAGGAGAGAACATGGTCTACTTGTATAAATGAAATATATCTCCTGTGCTTCATAAATCTAAATTGTCTTTATAGTATCTATTAGTGACCAAAAATGCATATTAGATAAAAATATAAATGAAATAAAGCTGATGTTGGTTGATATTTATTTGAATTCAAGTTTTTATATGAGCCTAACTGCCTGATGTTTTCCTGATATTTTCTTTGGCCAATTGCCTAATCCTGTCATTGAGGGTCTCATGTTCTTTGGACATTAATTATGAAGTTTTCCCTATAGTTAGCTTTAAAAATTGTTGATGGTGACTATGGTTAATACAGGCGATCAGTAATATGGATTCACTTTCACACAGAGACATATCAGAACATTGTAAGTTTGGGTTTTGACTGACCTTCAGGTTGATATTGTGCTATAATGGTCACTGTCTGTCCAGCTCCCTTTAATGCAGCAGCTGCCTGTTCATGAGATGCTCCACGGAGGTCAATGCCATTCACCTGAAAGAGGAAATCAGAGAATTTTAAGCATAGAATCTGTATTAAGATAGAAGAAAGGAGTATCCCAAAACTAATAAGCTACTTAAGACTATCATGTGCCTCAAAGCCCCTCATCTTCTACTCAAGTATTTCTTACCTCTACGAATTCCAGTTTTAATAATTTTAAACAGCAGCAATATAAAAATATTCATTTTGTGTTGGTTTCATGATCTGACTGGGATGGAAGCATTTTTATCCATTTATGTCTTTGAGGATTTTACTGGGTATATTTACTATGACCCTGTAAGTTTCCTAGATTTTGAGGGTAAATAAGAACCTTCAAAATTAGAGGAAAACAGGATAATGAAGAGAGACACATGTAATGCACATCGACAAGTACATGCTGACAGATTAATATATTCAGATGAGGTTCTGGGGAGACTGCATGGAATGAGGCTGGCTGCCAGCCAAACCCCTCTCTGGTCAATTGCCTAGTCCTGTCATACTGAGCTTGGTGAGACAGCCATGAGCTCTGTTCCAAAATAAACTTGAACACCCCATTTCTCATACAGAATTCCATAATGGATTCTGACAAAATGAAATAAAGCGTGCCTGGGGTTTTGCAATTGCTAACTCCCATTCTGGGCCCATACAGAAAGAGAAACAGAACACCTAAAAAACAAGCCCCAAACTCTACCAGGGTGAAAAATCATCTGTAAGTCAAATTTAGTGAGAAGCAAAACTAAATTCTTTCTTGAATCAATTCAGAGTAAGTCAATACAATATAATTAATGCTCTGTCTGCTCCAGAAGAGGGACATTGGTTGGGGAACAGAGAATAAGAACCCTAAGAAGTTCTTTTGCTTGAAGTGAACAAACAGTAAGTCTGGTTTTCTAACCTATACAAAACTATATTTTTGTAGGCGGTATCATACTGCTCTTTCTTTCTTTCTTTCTTTCTTTCTTTTTTTTTTTTTTTTTTTTTAGGGCAGTTGTTATAGCCCATGAAAGAATAAGTAGCTTCTTTTTTTTTTTTTAAAGAGAGAGAGAGAGAGAATGAATTCTTAATATTTATTTTTTAGTTTTCGGCAGACACAACATCTTTGTTTGTATGTGATGCTGAGGATCGAACCCGGGCCGCATGCATGCCAGGCGAGCACGCTACCACTTGAGCCACATCCCCAGCCCCAGTAGCTTACTTTCTATCACTCAATATTTGAGTGGTAGACAGGGGTGGAGGTTACTACTTCCAGGCCTGGAGCATCAGTAATCTTCATTTCTGCAATTTCCTAACTTTGTTAAAGTCTTCTTATTTGCTTTATATTTTTCCTAGTCTTTTATGTGTCTTCTATCCTGGTGAACTCTTTCCTGTGAGTATGGATTACACAGGAACATTGGGAAGCACATTAGCTGACCTGACCGTGCCACCCACTAGCTGAGTGACTATCACATCACCTCCCTGAACCTCAGTTTTCTCCCATCTCAGAGGGAAGGGATGGTTAGACTATCTGAGTCTAAAAGCTCCTTGAACTACACAATTCCAGATCTACTCCATGGTAGAAGACAGTTATGTCAGTCATGTTGGAGACCATCCAGGCTGTTGAAGAGTCAGAAGTATAACTCTGGTAGCCAGAGAGATGAGAAAGGCCATTATTATCCAGGCCTTCGTAATAGGAAATTGAAGAACACAAACTACATGTACAAAATAATTCATCTCTTGTTAAATGATGATAAGGGTTCACTTTTTGTTAGAAAATATGATCGTACTTTGTAATGTCTGTTTCAGAAAGGTGTAAAAGAATAGGTAAAGGTCCCCTCACCATTCCCACTTCCAGAGGTAACCACTTTTGTGTCTACTCCTTAGAAATTCACCATAAGCACCTATAACCACATTGCTACTGCTGCTGCTCTTTATATATATATTTTAACATACTATTGTCTTTTTATTAAATAATATATCGTATCACATATAAAATGTATAACGTTTTGTTTTACTTGTCAATTAACAATGTATCTTAGATATCTTTCATACAAGCTCATATCATTCTACCTTTTTGTGGAGGCTAGTATTCAATGGTGTAAATGTTCCAGCATTTTTCCATAAGATCCCTAATGATATTGATATGGCTAGAATCATTTCCAGTTTTTCACTACTACAAACACTCATTAACATATTTTTGAAGGATAAATTCCCTAGAAATGGACTTCCTAAGTCAAATGGTGTTTCTAGTATTTCTTTTAATTTGCTATTATGCATTTAAAAATGGTTATTTATTAAAAATACTGAAATTCATAAAAAACAAAACAAAAAATAGGATAAAATTTCCCAGGGAAGATATTGATTACAAAAAATAGATACATGCACACAATGTACGTACATAAAAATAAAAGGTTCTCCTACCTTCTATTATTGTTTCCAAAGGTAACTATGTTGGTGACTTATTATATACTACTCTTTATTTTATTTTTATTATGAATAGACGCTGGTTTATAAAATACACAATTTAAAAATTTCATATATATAAAATCATAATCTACACATTTTTAATATTTTAATTTTCCCACCTACTAATATATTTTAGGAAGCTTTATTATTAACACATTACTGCACATTAATTTCATTCTTTTGAATAGTTGTAGAGTATTCTAATATTTAATGAAAAACAATTAATTGTCCAGTGCATAGTTTATGAACACTTCAGTTCTTCAGTATTTTGCTATTATAAACAATTCTGTAATAAACATAAGATTATGTTGAGTAGTAAGTTGTTGAGCAAAGAGAATGAGTATAAAATTTTGGTAGACATTGCCAAATTGCCTTCAAAAATACAGCACTGACTTATATTCCCACATGTAGTGTGTGTGTTCTATTTTAGTCAGCCTTTTAACTGCTGTGACCAAAAGACCTGACAAGAACAATTAGAGAGGAGGAAAAGTTGATTTGGGGGCTCATGTTTCAGAGGTCTCAGACCATAGATAGTGGGCTCCATTTGTTGGGGGCTCAAGGTGAGGCAGAACATCATGGTGGAAGAGAGTGGTAGAGGAGAGCAGTTAAGATATCACACCAAGAAGGAAAGAGAAACTCAACTCACAAGATACAAAATATAATCCCCAAAGGCATGCTCCCCATGACCCATGTCTTCTAGCCACACCTACCATTCTGATTGGGTTAAGGCTCTCATAACCCAATATTTCACCTTTGAATGTTCTTGCATTCTCTCATACATGAGCTTTTGGGGGATACCAAATATTTAAGCCATAAGAACTTCCTTATATTCTTACAATAATTATACATACTGAAACATTTGATGTTTTCCATTTGGATAAGGAGACAATTGAATTTTTGTATTTTGCATTTCTTATTTGAAGTTAAGTATCTTATATGTTTATAGGTTATTTGAATTTCTTTTTACATAAAATGTATGTTCCTTTATTTTGCCTATTTTTTGTTTAATTTGTTCTTTTAAAAATTTATGTGTACACTCAATAAGAGCACTCCCTTTTAGATAACAAACCAAGAAGAATATTTGCAACAGTTATTTGTATTATTGGATTTTTTTGTATTATTGATTTTAACTTTTCCCTTGTATGTTATTTCTTGAAATAGAGAATTTTAAAATGTGTTGTATAGTCATACTTACTCTTTCCTTTTTGTTTTTTAACTTTGTATTATATATCCCCCAATCTTCAGTATATTTAACAAATTTTTCATGTTTTCCTGAAGTATGACTATAGTTTAAATTTTAACCATTCATCTTTACTAAAATATATTTTGATGTTTGACAGTAGCCAGTGTTTCTTGATTTTCCTTTATAGAATAAAATGTCTACATCTTTCATCATTCTAGTTATTCTCTGATTTTTTCTCAGGCAATACCCTACGAAAACAGCATAAAAAAGTGGAAAAGAGCAAAAAATTTGGAGTTTGACAAAACTGAGTTGAATCTCAAATCCACCAGTTATTTCTACGTAACTTGGGAAAGTAACTTAATGTTATGGTTTGAATATGTCGTGTCCCCCAAAAACTCATGTGTGAGAAGATGCAAGAAAGTTTAAGAGTTAAAATGATTGGATTATGAGAGCCTTAATTCCCAGATATGGATTAACTGGACAGTAACTATCTGCAGGTAGGTTGTGGCTAGAAGAAGCAGGTCCCCAAGAGCATGTCTTTGAGGTTTATATCTTGTCCCTGATGATCTCTCTGCTTCCTTGTTGCCATGTCCTGAGTTGCTTTTCTCCTACATGCCATTCCAACATGATGTTCTGCTTCACCTCCACCCAAAGTTGGCCATTTATGGACTGAGACCTCTGAAACCATAATTGCCATATAAAACTTTCCCTCCTCCAAAATCGTTCTTTTCAGTTCATTTGGCCACAATGTCAAAAAGACTGACTGAAACACATTTTTTTTTTAATCCTAGCTCCCTTACCTGTAAAATGAGTATAATACTTATTTACATATAAAAGTTGTTATAACTATAAACAGGTATTCAAAAATAGTATTTATTATTGTTGTTCATATTTTCCAAACAGCTTTGATTTTAAGTGATGAAATAAAATCTAAAGGAAAATTATCTACACAAAATGTAATTTCACTGTTTTTTAAAGAAACAAAGAACTTCACCTTTAGAAACTTATTTGTCCAGCATTTATAGATTAGAGACAATCCCCATAGAGGAAGGGACTAACCCAAATCTTTTTAGAATTAGGACTAGCACAGGGCTCTTTTGACCCAGCTCAGGGTTCTTTCTAATGCAGTGCATATGTTTCAATATGCGTATTTGTTTCTTTTTCACTGGACCAGTAATACCCAAATATTATTCATAGGCCGAATTCTACATGAGTATCTCTACATCTGTGAAGTTTTGTTGCTTCAGTTAGCCTGAACAATATCACATTGCCCTTGTTCCTTTTTGTTCTAATTTTAGCAAACCTGCTCTCCTCCAGTCCTTCCAAATTATTTGAGGTTACTTTGATTATTATTTCTATCTCTGATTTGCATTTTTTTTCAATAAACTTGACT